TGCGGGGCCTGCTCCATCAGCGAAGTCAGCCTTGTCGATGATGCTGTAGGTGTCCTGCTCCAGCCGGTGCGCGCCACGTTCGTCATCGTGGATAGGGTCGAAGGCGGGGCTCCCACGACATGCTACCCGCACGCAATGCCAGGCTGACCTCTCGGCGTTCTTGGACAGGCCAGGCAGCTTCCGAACACGAGGGGTCTCTCTTTGATCTTGCGAACCCGGATGTGAATTGCCGCTTGTGCCAAACAGGCCCCGGCCCTACATTCCAAGCCCAGAGCGCTGAGCTGGTTCACCGCCACGAAACCGTGTCTGCGCAATCCCGCAGCCACCTGCTCTGCGACCTGATCCGAGGAGCTCAGGATCTTTTCCTTGCCGGTCGCGATCGGCAGCTCCAGCGCTTGAAGACCCACGGCCAGTCGACCAATCGTTGAAATATGTCCAGCGTGTGCGGGATGCTGGAGATCGAGGCGGGGTAGAAGCCAGCCGGCGTCATACTGACAGCTGCAAGATGCACGCCGCCGCCCATCAGTCATGGGTGCGCACCGCGCACACTTGTGCACCACATCCGTAAGAGTCGGTCTCCCCCCCACCCCACTTGTCCCGAAGCTGCATACGTGGCCCAGCGCGCTCCGAAGGATGGCTCCGGGCAGTGCAAAGTGCCTCGCCGCACAGACGATCTTGGTCCAATCGACCCCGCCGAAACACTTGCTAAAGTCCACCATGGTCGCGACGATGGCGCCCCCAGCCTCGGAGTCCGCAGCCTCTGCGCGGACCATAATGCGAGCGCCCACGTCGACGATCCAGCGCCCCGTGCCCAGTGAAATGCACGGTCGAGTATTGGCCGCTGCCCGCCTCCTGACGCGCATGACCCTGACCATCGTGTACACCCTGTACAGGGAGGAGGGGAGGGCGATCGGCCCAAAGTCGCCTGGGGGCTTCGTTAGGAGCATCGCATGACTCGCCGCAGTGCTAGACGGCCACCTGCCTCACGCCTCACTGGCCCAGAGGACGTAAAGCAGCACTGCGATGGCATCGTTGGGGAGGAGGGAGTACAATCGTGGAGGCATGGCGTCCACCCCAAGGCCGGTCTTCCACGCAAACGATCTCGAAGCCCTTCGGGCCCCCTCAATCATCGGCACTGGCAGGGTCTCCACAGGCATGGAGCGGATGAGTTCGGCCAGGTCCCCCTACATGTCGGCTGTGGCCCACGTCGTACTCGCAATCATATCGTTTCTCCTGTGCCGAGACGACGTCATCCTGCCAGACATCGTCCAAAATGTTCATCTTGTTGTCCGCCACGGCCTGTGGTAGGAACGTGCAGAGTCCGAACCTGTCGACCTCGTTGTGCGCCCATCCCTTGAGCGGCATCTCTGGTCATCGAGCCCTAGGCCCACTTGCGGAAGCGCTTGGTGATCTTGGAAGCCGCCTCGCGCTCAAGCACCTTCGCATGGCCGTGTACCGTCGCAGCGCAGGCCATGACCACCGTGAAAAAAAACTCGGGGACGAGCCCACATGCGAAGTGAAGGACTAGCCATGCCCTTTCGAACAGCTAGGCCCCCGCGGCGGACTGGATGTCCTGGCGGCGTCCTGGTCGAAGTGCCCTGGTCAACCTAACGTCTCCCTGACGTTCGCGCACCGCCTATCCACCGTGCGGGCAAGGGTCTGGAGAGCCAAGGGAGAGGTTGCGCAGATAGCGAGCCTCCAGGCCCGCTGCGGGACGGCCAAGCTGCAGGGGCCTCCCACTGGGCACCAGACGTATGTGGGCCGCTCCGCTCTGCCACAGTCCTTGTCAAACTCATTCAGCTGGAATATGCTGCAGAGGTCGCGCTCGATGAACGCGACGACGCCCGCGTGGATCTCATCGAGGCGCGCTTGTGCGTCGGGCCCGTCCTCAGGCCGTCCACAAGCCGCATCCTGCTGGACAACGTAAACGTGTGGCTAAGACATCGGCGGCCCATGGAGCGGATGTGCACCTGTGCACCTGCGCGCCTGCTTGGGGAAAGACTTGAGCGCCCGCATGCAGAGCTGCTGGTGCATTCGCGGCTTCGCGTCCATGCCGAAACGCATAGGGTAGCGCGGCCGTGGAGTCCAGGTGTCGGAAGAGGAAGAGAAGGAGCAGGAGGAGGACGAGGAAGAGAAGGAGGAAGAGGAGGGCGAAAAGGAGAAGAGGGCAGAAGCGGAAACGAGGAAGAGGAGGAGGATGCTGAGGAGGAGGAGGAGGAGGAGGAGGGGGAGAAAGAGGAGGAAGAGGATGAACAGTATACACCCGAGAACCATCAATGATGTTGAAATAAACCCTCCCTCCGAACTCCCTCTTCATGGGCCCCTACACGGGTTCACTAACTGAGGGAACTGTCTCGTTGGAAAACAACCGTTTGAAGACCCTGAAACGTGCATAAACATTCTTCCCGGGATTCCAACGCAACGGATCAACTTGGCTGTCGCGTCTTGACGATTCTGAACCGTGCCAGACACCATTCCAAGGACTTCAACACCGCGAGTCAGCAACGTAGCTGTTGCACCCTGAGAACCCGGAACCTTTCCAAAACACCAACCCTGGCACGTTGACCTCTTGCAAACCTTAAGCAAGAATATGCACGCCGCTAAAATGAGAACCACGATTTGAAAAAATAACCGCCCTCAAACCGTGACTCTCTTGCAACTGTTTATAAACGAATGTGCGCGGCGCTAAGGCGAGACCCACATTTTGAAAACCACCCGCCTGCAACCCATGAAACTATTATAATGTTTTACAACGAATGTGCGCGGCGCTAGTCGAGAGCCACACGTTAAAAACGACCCGCCCTCAAAATGTGAGGCTCACATAAATGCTTAAAACGAATGCGCGCGGTGCTGAAGCGAGAGCCACACATGGAATACGATCCGCCCTCCATATGTGAAGCGGTTGCCATGTTTTAAGCTGCAGGGTCAAAAGTGGTGAAGGAGTCTCAGGCGAAACGCCTGGCCCGCCCTAAAGACTGGCCTCGGGGTGCGACAGGGATAAGCTAGTTATAAGGGAAGGAGTGTAGGAGGAGGAGGAGGAGAAAGAGGAGGAGGAGGAAGAGGAGGAGGGAGGAGGTGAAGGACCAGGAGCCTCTGGAGGAGCCCGCCCCCCGCTCCTCCTGCCCAGACCTCTGGCGATTGATAAAAAGGAACGCAACGATCGTTTCAGATTTCCTCCTCGTTCTCCTCCCCCTCCTCCCCCTCCTCCTCCTACTCCTGCCCACCGCCTATATCACACGCCCGCCTCCCACTCCCCTCCTACGACGGCGACCCCTGGACGCCCAAACCCAAGGGCTTTCCCCAGGAGGACCCGCTCTTCCCCTCGAGTCGTTCTTTGATCGGCTACACGCAAGAAAGACCGTGGGTAAGAGTGACTTTTGGCGCGCAGCTTTCGGGGAGCCGCGGGGGGCCCAAGCGCGCAAGATACAACTATCGCATCGCAGTTGGCGATCGGGGGACCCCATCGGACTGGCTCCAGAGGTCACTCTGGCGAGAGGTCAATATTACGTCTTTTCGACTTGATAGTTGACGGTCCCCAGGCCCAGCGAATGCCCCAAGATGCCGACGACCACAATGAAAAAACCTCAGGGCCCCTTTCCCCCAGGGCCTGTTTTGATGGAGCGGAGCAATACGCCGATTTTGGTGCCTTTTGGTGGCCATACATGAAGACCGAGCTTGTTACGTCGAACCTTGTACACCAGTAGGACATTTGAGCGCAGACTAAGCGGAGCAGGAGGTCCAGAGAAGCACAAGCAAGTAGAGGTCTCCGTAGCCATGTGGGCCCGAGCCACTGACCGCCAAGCCTCTTGGGCGTGTCCGTGACAGCGTGCCGCCCACACCGCCCTCTGGTGGGCGCCCGCGCTACCGAGATCGAACCAACTTTGTCGAGGCCCGGCGATTGCTACTTGTTTCTCATGTTCCCCATGGCATTCACTCTCCCCCTGACATCTCCGATTCTGAAACAAACATGAGCGCACATAACAACGAATGGACATAACCATTCAATGTAATTGGGTTTGCATCTCGTACTCGTTGCTTACATGTTGCCCTCAGAAACGTAAGACGATGTTCCACACCTGCGGATGTTCCCAAGGCGAACCGTGACGACAAAGATCGGTGTGTCACTTGTACCAAAACAGAAGATGGTGGAATGGACAAACAAGCGGTGAAGATCATACCCAGCGCGCACGGTACATCATGTGCAAAAACGAACAGTGCATTCTTACAGCTTGCGTCGCATCCGCCGTCGTATACTCCACGCGTCGACAGATGTGACACAATAGATACCCTTTTTTCAAAATCAATGCGAACAGCACGGAACGATGGCCGCGCGATTCAAAGTCGGGGCAGGGGCGGAACGTGCCCGCAACGCGTACAAGCAACAAATGGGCGGGGCGGAGGCAAGAGCTCGCCGCGCGGCTCGAAGGCGGCTCGCGCCGCCGAGCCGGGCAGCTCCAGAAGGAGGGCATCGGAGGACGCCGGGCGGGAGGCTCCAGATTCAGAGACATAGGTCATCCAGAGACATAGGTGCGTCCACAGATGTCCCCTCAAGAGATCCAGGTGCGTACGCAGATGTCTCCTGCCTGCGAAGGCCTAGAGCAACTAGAGCGGATCGTTGTCAGAAGGAGTGGCAGGATAATGCGCTAGGTCTGTGAATATATTTGAATAATTGTGCGCGGCCTTGCGCGCAGCTGCCAGGAGTGGCCCGCACTGCTCATTCCGTTGAGGGCGGCCTTACCTGCTCGGCGTCTCCGCCGAGTTCAGCGGCGCATGCGGGCCCCAGAAGTGTGTGGGCAATATGCTAAAAAATCGCGATGGCTCGAACAGAAGGCAACGCGCCTGTGCTCACAATTCTGTTCTGACTCAACCAATGCGGCACAACATCTAGAACCCGCTCTATGGTGCGCGAAGCGCAGACATGAAAAAAGGTGCAGAGCTCCGACAGCTTATGTTTATGCAGCTGCTTCTACTTCGTGCGGCTGCCTCTCACCGGCGGTCCTTCACGGCCAGTCTCGACTGGCCGTTGACAGACTCATCCTTGGTGAAACAAGCCCATGGTGTTTGGGGTTGCGCACGTTCATCATCACACTTGCCATCTTGGCGTTGGCCCTGAGGCCCTGGATGCGCGCAGGAACTACCCTCAGCGTCTGGCTGTCGGAATAGTCTCGGAAAGGTGCGGCGGCGTGCCATGCCTCCTTGAATCGCACTGCTGTGCCATGGTCGTGAAAATTAATAAAAGCGTGCCCATTGTTCGTGCCAGAGTGGAAGTCGGACGGAACATAACAGAAATCGTACACACCGTCGAAGCCAGACCCGTCAAGCATGCCCATGAGCTCCGACCGCTGGAGCCTCAAGGGCAAGTTGCTCACCATCATGGTCGTGATCTTGCCGGGATCCTCCAGGCTCGAGCTCTTCTCGATCATCTTCCTGGTGTGTCTCGCTCACCTCGTCCGCCCAACAGCCACCACCGCTGTGGACCGAGGAGCGCCCAGCGGCTCCCACAAAGGCGGCGCGCCCGTCCGCTCGCCGCGCCCTGCGCCGGCAGGGCCGCCTCGGGGCGCTGCGCGGACCCCGCCGCCGCCCTGCACGGCGCGCGAGCCCGAGGGCGGGGCGGCCTCGCAGAGCAGACCCGCCGAGGAGGAGACGGGGCCCAACGAGTGGCAGGAGTAGCGCGTCGCCGAGTATTCCCCGAAGTCGCTATCTGTGTCGAGGTAGTCGCATGCGGTGGACGCGGCCTCTGGCTGCTCCTCGCGCGGATCTCGCGGCAAGGTCGCATGCAAATTGATCTCGGTGTTGCTCGCGACCATGTCGTCCACGGCGCACAACCCCGCGGAATGCTCGTACCAATTTTGTGTCAGCGAGTCTGCCGCAGGGACGTGCTTAATAGGCGCTGGCACGTCCCCCAGAACGCAGCCGTTGTACATGACGATGGGCCGAGATCCTCCCAGGTAAACAGACGGGCCCGGCATTCTTCTGCGGAGAGGCTCTAATACTCGGGTTTGGCTGGGCGCGGGCGCTAGAGCAAAAATCTTGAGCCAAAATGGGTACAGATGACACAATGGTTACCTTGGACCCGACTCCTGGCATCCTTGTCGACATAAGCGAAACGACCGCAAAGGCCACAGCCGGAAATGTTGACACAAGTGTTTCTGACCAATTTGGTATGGTTTCAGAATGTTCAACTGCAGGCAGTCCAATCTTGCCGTAGAGCACGCATTGCTTCAGCAAGGCGCATCTTCCCGCAGTCCATGCAAGCCTGGCGCGAAGGTTCGACTCGTCTGTCTTGACAAGGAACAAGACCTCAAAGGTCTGGGAAGTGTTCTTGGCGCGCAGAGAGAAGACGAAATATGGCAGTTCATCGATGATAGCAACAACGTGCATACCAAGACCGACGAACTTGGATTTAATTTATTTTCGCTCAAAGCCAGTTTTACTTGCGGCATGTATGCGACCAGCTACACGATTCAACTATTTCGAAGAACTTGTCACATCACGCGTTATTTTTTTTATCTTGCCAGGCAACACACAAACAATGTCGGGGGCGTCGAGGCAATTTTTCAGACACTATTCAACATCGAATCAGATTTCGACACACTTGATCTGGCGATCGGAAAAAGCTGGAATCCAATACGATGCTAAATTCCCGACGCGACGCGTTCGCATTTTGGTTGGCAGTACGTATCCCTTTGTAACCTCATCACACCAGACCTTGTGAGCGTGTCGACCGCCATTTTAGTACTGAGCGTGTCGACCGCCCGCGGCAGTCCCAAGCGTGAGCTGGACTTGTCCAGGACCTTCTGTGAGGGCAATCTGGAGGAGGTGGCGGTGTGGATCTTACGGGAGAGGAGTAACGCACTGTACCCAGCCAGGACCCTCGGTGAGGGCACTGTTCTCTCCACAGAGCTGCTTCCAGTTTAGCGACGCACGTGCATCATCCCCTGGGAGGAGGAGGAGAAAGAAATGGCGGAAGACTCAGATAATGGTGGTGTAGAAAACGGCATTCATGCGAGCGCTCGACCGCTTCCTTTGCAACCCGTTGTGGGCCGAGCACCTTGATGTTGTGGCGCATGTCACCGCGCGGCGGCGCCCGAGACGAAAAGCGGCGAGTGTAGCCCCACTCCTCGGTCCGCGCCCATATTCTCTGCCGTGGTGGTAAACACTTGCGGCACATGGGCACCAGGGCAAACCATGGACTTTGAGAGACCTCAATTGGTTTACGCATGTGGGAGACCGTTTCTTTCTTACATCATTCTCTATACCCGAAACTAGCCAGGGGGAAGGTATGGCGGAGGTGGTGATGAGGTGGTGGAGGAGGGACTGATCTCCTAGTTTTGAGGTGTGTGTGTGTGTGTGCTCAAGCTGCCAGGGACATGGACGAGCCGCGACTGAACTTGGCACCGCTCCTCGGTCCGCTCCGCTAATACTTTCCTGACCGCGGTGGGCCCCTGGGGCACGTGGCCACCACGGCAAACCATGGAGTCGGCAACTCTCCGTTGATTGCGCGTACGGCCGCTTCTTTCTGCCACCAGTCGGGGTGCCCGAGGCGTAGAAAGGGGAGGTTCGGATGAGGGTGGATCAGAGGAGGAGGAGGAGGAGGAGGAGGAGGAGGAGAAGGTGGAGGAGGAGGGGGAGGGGGCGGAGGATGAGGAGGAGGAGGAGGAGGAGGACGAGGGGGGGAGGAGGAGGAGAGGAGGAGGAGATGAGGAGGAGATGAGGAGATAGTGGTGGAATAGAAGGTTTCACTGCGAGCGATCGGTGCTTCCTCTGCAGCCTGCAGTGGACCGATCACCTTGATGTCGCGGTGAATGCTCGAGCGCAGCGGGGCCCGAGAGGCGATGGTGTCGGCATCTCAATTGATTTGCGTGTATGGGAGGCTGCTTCTTTCTGCCACCAGTCGTGGGGAGGAGGTGGAGGAGGAGAGAGTGGAGAATGCGGGTAGTCTTGTAGTAACGGCGCGTCGGCCGCAACAAACATCTCAGCTGAATTGCGCATGGGAGGCCGTCTCTTGCTGCCTTCAGCCGTGATGCCTGAGGCGTGAAGGGGGTCTGGGGGTGATGACGACTCTGAGGGGAAGGAGGAGGAGGTGAAGGTGGACCGTTCACCTTGATGTCGCGGTGAATGCTCGAGCGCAGCGGCGCCCGAGACGAACCGACGCTGAATGTAGCCCCGCTCCTCGGTCCGCTCCGCATGCATTTTCCTGGCACGTGAGGGACGTGGCCACCAAGACAGACTATGGAGTCGGCATCTCTCAGTGGATTCGCATCCATGGGAGGCCGTTTCTTTCTGCCACCGTCGCAGTACCCTAGGCGTAGCGGGGGAGGTATGGTGTTGGAGGATTGGTGATGTGTATGCGAAGGTGGCGGAGGAGGACGTTCATGTCGACCGCTGCGAACGTGTTGACCGGATCTAGGCCAATCAGACCTAGTCGGCCAGCCTTGATACTGGGGAGGGAGGGATGCGTGGTGAATTTCATCGGATGGGATGATGTTGGGGATCGGTGGGAGGCGATACCGCTGCTCCCAGGGCCTCTCCTGGGGCGCGTGTTGACCAGGCTTTCGGGGAGAATACGGCCGTGGCGACGAGGAGCTCTCCAGGATGAGCAGCGGTTTCGGTAAATATCAGTTCCTACCCTGATCGTCGTCGTCGTCGTCGTCCGCCGGCGTCGTCCGCTGGCGGCCGCGCCCAGCCGTGGCCCGGCCCCGCCGTGTCCAGCTGGCGCTGCGGGCGGGCGGGCAGCGGCATGCCCGCCAGCGGCCCAGGGAACCGCGGCGCCGTCATGGGCGCGTGTCCCTCCCACAGAAAGCGGCTCCTCGGGAGGGGAGAGTGGGGGGGGGGGCAGGCCTAGGTTGTTCCCAATCCTCCCGTGTTCTGGGCCCTCGTTTTGAAGTCGCAACGCCGCGCGTCTCCTTCCTCTCCTCTCCTATCCTCCTCATCCTCCTCCTCCTCCTCCTCCTCCTCCTCCTCCTCCTCCTCCTCCTCCTCCTCCTCCCCCTCCTCGTCCTCCGCACTCCTTTGCCATCTCGGCGCGCCCCCCCGCATGGTGACCCGCTCCCAGAAGGCGGCTCCTCGCGAGGGGTGGGAGAAGGCAGGCCTTGGCTGCCGCTTTCAGTTCAAACGCTCGGGGCGCTTGTTGCATCCGTGTTCCGCTTGCCGCTGTTGACTCGGCCAAGGCGTGTTCGAGACAGCACTCCGAGAAGAGGGCGTGCGCAGAAACGTGCTGCACACGCGCCGCAAATAGGAAAGAAACGAGCAGGCAAGCCACGGGCCGACCCCAGACCAGAGGACGCAACCAAAACAACTGAGCACAGAACATATGTGAAAATGCGAAGTTCCAAAACTGATGGATCGTAGCGTTCTTGAAAGCATCTGAGGCCCAGATGCCCCCACATCGCAAACGCCGAAACACAAGAACACATCGACATGCCATCTGAACGACGGCAGGAAACGGGTCTTACGCGAGGCGGTATGGCGCTCTTACGCCGCGGCTTACACTGGCCGCCAGCGTGGCACACCGCGTGGAGAAGAGGGCGTTCACGCGCGACCTTACGCCAGCAACTTACGCGCGAATGTTCGCGCAATCGGCGCCTTTCTGATAGGTATGGGGGAATCTTGAACGAGATCATTGCTTCCGCACAGTTGCCATCGTGGTCGTCGCCAACCCCCCCCCCCCCGCCCCCCCGCACGGCCCTGGCCCCAGGAGGGGGTGGCGAGGGCTCTCCTCCTCGGCTGCTTGGTGACCGACCTAAATCCATGGCCGCTGCCGTGGCAGTCTGGGCCCGTCGCCCCTCCCGCTCACGCGCGCGATGATTGGATGCATTTGGAACCTCCGGGCCCCAAACAATTCGAACCTCTTGTTGTGCCCTGCTCCCGACTCTTACGGTCGGGAACGCTTCCTCAGCATGTCGCTCCGCTCTGGAGAACTCGTGACGTCGAGGCCTCGGGGCCGCGAAGTGGATACGGGGATATCGGCTACACATAAAGAGTGACCCTGGGCAAGCAATGGCACGTTGTGGCTTTTAATGCGCGGCTGAGGGGGCCGCGCGGGGGGCCATACCCCAAGCGCGCAAGCCAATTCTGGGGTGGCCCGGGTGGGCCCACAACAAAGGTCACCCCCGCGAAAGGTCACCCCTACGCGCAGCCGAGGACAGCGCGTCGCAATGAGACGCGGTGTACTAGGGCCAGAACCAGCGGCGCGACGCGCTGTCCAAAAGTTTGCGACCAGGAAGCCTGATGGGTCGAGCCTGGGGCGCGCGCCCTGCTGGCTTGCGCTCAGCCAAACCTGCGAGTTCTGCGCCCACGCCCGCTTCCTTTACGGCTCGCCCTCCTGGTCCGAAGTCCAAAGCGTCAAGTTGTCGCTGAGCAGCTGCATGATGAGGGTGAATTCCTTGTACAAATATCCTGCGACATTATCAAGCTAGGCGGCTGCGCTCTCGAAAACCATGCGCGCCATCTTGCACGCCTTGTCCGGATTCTCCAACACCTCGTACTGCAACACGACAAGGTTCAGGACAAGTCCAAGGCGGATCGGATGTGTCACTGCCACGTCCTTGGTGGCAATTGCTTGCGCTTCCTCGTATGATAAGTTGACATCGTTCGAAGCCTTCGCCTTGGCATCGTCTGTGGTGCATTCTGTAATGTAGCGATTGTAGTCGCCGGTCATCTTCTGGCAGAGAAAAAACTGGGATAGGAGCTGAGCACACAAATCGAGCAGCTGCGTGGACAACAGAGTGGCGACCCTGCTCTCGTCGTCCTCCTTGAACAACGTTAGCACGTTGACGAAAAATCAATGCAGGGGGAGCAGGTAGCCTGACTCGGAGAAAGCTGCCGAAGCTGCGGGATCAAAAGGCCACCACCTCCACAAGGTCAAGAACAACCCTTTGCAAAATAGCCAGCAAACCCTCTGGAAACGCCATTGGGGGTGCCGGCCCCGTGTCCGAGCCAGGCCTGTGCCCCCCGCCTCCACCGAGAA